CTTAATAGTCTCAGGTTGGCACCAGATTATGTAAGTTCTACAGTTGGTGTCTCCGCTAGGATTTTCTCCCTCAAATGTATCAGTATAGTCCATTTTGTTTTTCGTACAACACACACACACACACACACACACACACACACACACACACACCGGCAGGGAGTAAATATGGGTTATCAGTGCGCGTTCCCTTCCTACAAAATGCTGGATCGGGGATTCCAATCTTTGGAAGTTAGCACCATCCCTTAGGGGCTGCTATGTGCGCATTCTCACTCCTTCAACAAAGGCACCGGTCTGCGTTTAACGGAGGGCTGGACCTCTCTCCACTCTGTCACTCCATCCATCCGTGGCCCTTTCCCACCCGGCCCAGCCACGGAGACCGGTCCTTGCCGCATCCTGAGTGCTCACGGTGTGATGAGCCCATCGCTGTTGCGGGTGGGTCTCACTGAATTCTCGAACGTCCCGGCGGTAAATCCACTTGATCGTTTCAAACTTCCAGTCATACTATATGGACATTTCGGGGGGATTTTTTTCCTCTATGTTCAGCGCCTCATCGATGATCTTTGGTTTCTCCAGGCCTTGGCCAATCAGAAAGAGGATAGGCATCCTTCGGCGAACTTGATAAGGGAAGGCATAAATGCCTGGCCAGGCACTTGGAATGGACCAAACTGGAGGGGTTCTGGCTGTCTCTCCTCACCCAGGACTTGAGCAGACAGAAGAGTCCTTTGGAAATGAATCACTCCATCATTGGCTACATCCATTTCACACAGGTTCCTGAAATCGTGTGTGCCAGCGTTCTTGTGAACGGCGTTATCCATGGGAGGACTAGCGGGATGTCAGCTCTACACAGCTGAGCCAAGAAGGTAGGCTCTTACAGGGGCCCAGGCCAGGACTCGGATGCCAGGACAGAGCCCCGGTTGAGGATGGGGGTTAACAGATCTCTTTGGCAGTATCGCTGCCTTTGTCTTTTGAAGTAGCCTCCTCTGAGTCCGTTGGAAAATGAGTACGAAGATCAAGAGCTATCCCCTGTCCGAAGGCAATGGCTCTTTTGTCTGTTCACCTGCACCGGCGATACTTGGATGTCTGTCTCCTGTCTACTAGTCTCGTCTTGGCTAACGCCCCGAACAGCTTCTCTTCAATGGTGGGACGTGTATTCTCTGGACTGGCCAAACCCTGGCGGCCCCAACCCCGCTAGGCTATCCTCGGAGCTAGTGCCTGTGGCCGGGAACTCTGAGATCAGAGAGATGCACGCTCAGCTTTCACGCTGCCTGAAGACACCTCTCTTCCACTTGAGTCCTTGTTGATGACGCGTCCCTGGAGCAGGAAGGCTCGCGATTTATGAACTGCCGACCCTGTGCTTAGCAGCCCAACGCATTAATTACCACGACTCCACGGGGTCCCCACACCATGTGCACCAATTCCACAGCTCCTGCATTCGGGAGGTGGAGGAAAGAAGCTGGAAGCCCAGGCCTGTCTGCTTTTCTCCAGATTCCACAGACTGAGGCTCCTGGTCCCGCGTCTTCAGCCCCTTGCTCCCTGCACCCTCATCCCCCCCTCCGCCCCCCACCACCAAGAGGCGGACCGCTAGCGAGCGGCGGTGCCCTCTGTCCCCACCAGGGCGCGCTCCGGGCCCGCTGGCGGGGATCCAGCGAAGCGCCAAACTTGGGACGGGGAAAGCGGACTTCACCATAGGGCAGCGGTTCTCCAATGAGGCCCAGGGACCAGCAACATCAGCACCACCTGGGAACCTTCTAGAAATGTCGATTCTCCAGCCCACCGCAGACCTCTGGGGTCGGGGCGCGTATCCTCTGAGCTTTCACAAGCCCTCCCGATGAAGAGGGGGCTGGTGGTCCTTAGGACCCTCGGCATTTAGCAGTTCCCAAGCCCAGCTGCACCCTGGGCTCTCAGGGGACACCGCTGGGGAAAAGGAGGCAGCCGCTGGGTGGGTCTGAAAGAGGGACACACTGAGCCTCAGTTTTGCTCTCCTAGAGCTCCTCAGCACGGGTGCCTGTGAAATGTGATTCTTTGAGAATACAGGTCCCCGTGTGATCACGTGCGTGTGCATATATAAGCGAGGGCATCTAAGTGTGTGACAGCGTCTGTGTGGGACCCATCACACCGGCATCGAGTTGATTCCGATTCATCGCGACCCTCCAGGGCAGAGTAGAACGCTTTCTGAGCCTGTCAACTTTACGGAAGCAGTGGGCCACATCAGTCACCTTTAGAACGGCTCGTGGGTTCGAACTGTGGACGGTGTGATTAGCAGATGAGCATTTTAACAAGGTGCCACCAAGGTTTCTTATGAGTCGGTATAAATGCAGGGATTTTAAAGTATGGGGATGTGTACGTGGGTGAGCCTGTGAATGAATGTGGGTGGGTGTGGGTGAGGGGTTGCAAGGTAGAGATAACAGCCACCTGCCAGTGCGTTGATGTGTAACAGAGCATGTGTCTATGTATGTGTGTGTGGTGTTAACCCATGTCTCTTATTGTGCCTATCAGCGTGTGCCCAATCTTTGTCCCTGTGTGTGCATGTGCTTGTGTTGGAGACATGCCTGTGTGCCCGTGTGTTGCCGTGCGGAAGAGGATGGACCAGCACCCCGACGATCATGATATATACACATAGTGTGGGGTCCACCTCCTCCCCCCATCGTTGAGGATTCACACACCCCCTGCCAAAACCCGACCCTCCCAGGGCCTCCCTCCCCCCATGAGCCATCCTAGGAGGCAGACTGGAGACTCCGTTGGCTTCAAGCAAACTTTATTGAATCAAAAAAAAGGCACAAAGCATCCTACAACCACAGCCCCCGGGCCCCCACCCTTTCTCCCATCTCAGATTCTCGCCAGCTCTCGGCTGCATTGCTCTCCTCACCAACCAGGCCCCTTTGAAATCTGGACTAGCCCCAGACCCATCTCCCCACCTGGCTGGGCGACACCCACTCCCCGAACCCCAGCTCCCCCCACCTCTCCACTCAGTTGCACCCACCCAGGTGCAGGCCACACCTTAGGCTTTCTTGCAAACCCCACTGCCCGTTGTGGGCTACAGGGAGGGGCCCAGTGCCCACTATCTAGCACGAAGCAGTTCTGGACGGCCACACACCACATCACACAGCAAGCCACAACATCAGTAATGTGGGTTTTGTTTTTTGTGGGGTTTTTTTTTAAGGAAACAGGGAGGGGCAAGGGGGGGACAGTGAGCTGCCAGAGTCGGCTCCGACTCGCAGCACCCCGATGTGTGTCACAGTAAAAAGGCGGTCCTTCCCCAGAAGCAGAGCACCACGGCTGTCTTCCAAGGGCCTCCGGGTAGCTTTAAACTGCCAACCTTGCGGTTCGTAGGCGGGTGATGCCATCTAGGAGCTTCTGATGAAGAAAGAAAGGGAGTGGGGTGGTGGATATCCGATGCAGGCAAGAACTTCAGTCACAACCGGGAGGGGAGAGCCGGCCCCTCTCTGGACCTCTCCCACTGATTGAGCGGGACGGGCACAAGGTAATCACAGAGAGGCCGGACCCCAAGTTTTCTCCCACCCCCAAGGGGTCTCAGCGTCCTGGTTGCTTCTTCGTGATAAGGATCAGGCACTGCAGACTGCTCAAGTCTTTTCTGACTCATGGCCACCCTGCCAAGGACAGGGTAGCAATGTCGCTGTACGGTTCCCAAGGCTCTCTATGGGAGTAGAAAGCCTCATCGTGCTCCCGGCAGGGCGGGATGGTGGTCTCAAACTGCTGACCTTGTGATGAGCAGCCCAATGCGTAACTGCAGAGGGCCCCACAACCCCATTATCCATCTTAAGCTCTCTAACCCGCCGCCCTGCGAAACCCCTCCCTTTGGGCCCGTTCCTGTGGAAACGAGGGTGCCACTTCCGGTCCACCCAGGAACGATGCACTGAGCAAAGAGGATGGGGCTGGATCGAAACCGATTCCCGAGCCCAAGGAGTCAAATCCACAAGGGGGGCCTGGGAATCTGCATTTCAAATCCCGGGGGCAGGATGGAGGGGCCCACCGGGACCCTCATCTTCCAGGGCCGGACAGTGAGCCCACGTCAGGAAAGCGGCAGCATTGCCCCCTTGTCAAGTCCCAAGCCAAGACTGAAGTGCTTGTGGTTTTTTTTGGTTTTTGGCGTTTGGTTTGGTTTTTTCACGTTTTCGCCAGCACATCAGCCTTGAGTTCTCATTTGACGTTCCGAAAGACAGTGCTCGTCCAGGGTGCAGCGAAAAGGGGGGAAAGATGTGAATTCCCACCCCTCTGTCCTCTGTCCCTTAAAAACAACACCTGGAGGCAGGGAACTACAAATCCATTACAGTATGCTGCAATTCCCTCTGTAGCTGCAACCCCTCCTTAGCGACTTTGCTCCTCACATCCTTTAAGTTGCTATAAGGAGTAGGTCTTGTTAAAAAAAAAATGAATTTATGAAAAATAAAATTGTAACAAGATAAAGAAGAGGGTCTTCGGGTGGATGGATAGATGAGGTGCTGCCTTGCCCTCTTCCTCCACCTCTGAGGTTTTCAGGTGCATGGGGTGGGGGGGGGTGAGGTGATCTCAGTCCAGGCTACGAGGGTACACCCAAGGGGCCGAAAACTCAGCCGGCAGGGGCGCTCGGCTGGGCCAAGGCCCTCACAGCTGGTCTTCTTGATCACCCTGCTCCTCTTCTGCTCGGGCCTCAGCCCTCAGCACGTGCAGGCCCCTGGCCTCAGCTGCCCTGGGGACCCTCTTGGGGAGGGTTGGCAGCCTGGGGGTGTGCCAAAAAGCTCTCTTACGGAGGCGAAACCAGGAAAACCTCCCAGGCGTCTGGAACCTCACGGTCTTGACCTGCTTGTGGCCCCTAGAAGCTGGGTTTGCCTCGGGGGTCTCCTGGCCAGCTGGGGCCTCTGCCCCCTGGTCAGCTACAATCTCTACTCCCTGGTCAGCTACAATCTCTGCCCCCTGGACAGCTATAACCGCTGCCCCCTGATCG